GTGTGTGTGTGTGTGTGTGTGTGTGTATGTGTGCGCGCGCGTGTGTGTGTGTGTGTGTGTTTACAGTGTGGATTCGAACTTGCCCTTGTAGATCCAGATCGAGTTTGGAAAATGGAAGTTCTTGATGATAGAACGACGGAAACACCGTGCGCGAACGAAAAAACTTCCCGATCCCGTCGTTTGCATTATCGTGCAACGTGCAACAAGTGGTTCTCGGGACGAATTCGAGATAACCTCAGTGTCAAGATCGTTTTGTATCTTTTGAATTTTCCAAAAACTTTACGAGAATAGTATATTTATAGAAATGTGTTTTGAGAACAGAAAAGTATTTGACAATAGTTTATTTGTAAAACAATTGTGTTCCAGGATATTTATTTAGAAATAATTTGGAAATCCACTGAAACGCGAAAAATAATTATCGATTTTTTAATTAAGCAGTTACTTCTTTTCTTTTTCTGTTGTTTCTTACGTGTAAGAAAAAATTACGAGTAAAACTACTGGGTCCCTTGACGTATGGTTTTGTAAATTTACAGTATCGCGTAACTAGAAGAATGCATATAGTGGACACTGGTGAAAGATTAGGTGGGGTGCAATCAACAAACTCGTGAGAAAGCCGAGCAAACTAAAATTGTTTTTCCTTTTCTGTTTCGAGCAACGCTGAAGAGGCTCAATTTACAAGTCTTTCATTTACAACGAATATTATACAATATCTATTGCACTACATTTTGAAAGAAAAAAAGAAAGAAAACGTAAAAAACAATAAGTGTTCTTGGAAAATACTCAACCGATAGAGATTCGAGATTTTCAATGGAACAAAAGAACGTGAACGTGGACCGAAGCTATTTTTGAAAGGAAAAGGGGAGAAAAAGAGAAAGAACAGTCCGGAAACTGAGAGATCCTTTCAGGTTCGATCACGATCGAACGAAATTGTATTCAAGATCAGTGTGAAGAAAAAGGTGGCGAGCAGTGAAACATGGAATTAGAACGAGGAGGAAAGTGAAGGCCTGACTACTCGATAGGAAAATGGAATTCCATAACTGGTGTGGCTCGCATTGAATTGTCCGCATGGCGGGTGAAGCAGCAGCACATCGTGGAAAACGCTGCTGTTAGGAAAACTCTCTCATCGCGGAACGAGGTCGAGCTGGATTTCAATGTAACACAGCACATGTGATTGTTATTTAACGTATAGATATTTAATGGAGTAAAAAAGGGGAAGGAGAAAGAAAAATCGTCGGTGGAATCTGGGATGCACGTGGGATTGGACGGTCTTACGCCACTGGCCACCAGACGCCTATGCGTCGGAAAACTCTCATTGTTAGCACAGGAGAACGCTCAACGGCTTCGTGTTGTTTTTCTTTTCTAGAAGCCATATAGAACTGTGATAAATATTATATACGAGTATACGAGTATTCTTTTTCGAAACAACGTATAGTCTGCAGGCAAAGGAAATCTTTAATAAGAAATATACGAATTAAAAACTGATTTTCTCAGAGAATAAAATATGTCGAAGGAAAATGAGAACTTTTCTTGAGAGATAACCGATGGAAATTTCACTGGAACGAATTTTTTACGAAAAAGAGCAGAGGAGAACGGTACAGAATATACAAATCGACGAGATACTCTTATGGATCCTTCTTGAAGCTTAAATAAGGAAAAATATTTTTTTCGATGATCTCGACTTTTATAGCAGTGCAATATTTAAAGGTGAATTGATAATCGATATATCGACGTTATTAAAAAGTGTTGAACGAATTTTTAAGGATATACATATAGATATTATAAATAAGCTGATATTGGGAGCGAACGAAAATGCAGTTATAATTTCGAAGAAGATACACGGGGGAAAAGAGTGTACCTAGTACCTATTCGGGGAACATGTTTCTTCGTAGACGTTAAACAGGGCGGGGGGAAGGGGGGGGGGAGAGACGTCGGTTCTTCGAGACTAAAAGTTCCCGGTTAGCGAGAATGGAGAGGAACGAGAACAATGTCGGCGTTGGAAATTCGGGAAACCCCCCGAATTCGACTTCGACGACGCACACCGGTGTTCTTCACACTTCCGGCGGAACCGATGCACAGGTGGGATTTCAAAATTTGGTGGGAACGAACCAGCCTGTACCGGCTGTACCGCGAAGCACATCAACGACTTCCATAAATACAAAAACTTCAAATTGACATAAAATTTTCTTTATCGTTCGTTACTTTCGGAATTTTTTTTTAGTAACCATTTTTCAATAATAATTATTAATAACATAATTGATTGTTAACGTAATAGCAAATAAGAATACGTTTTAAATAAAGGATTGTTAGTGTTTAAATCAGTAGTCTAAATTGAAATAATATTAGATTTTCGAATAATAATTACTATAATAATAAAAGTAAGTATTATTACTATTTACAATAATAATTATCATTATAATTTAGAGGAGACTTTAGTAGATTCTTACTATAATAATTATTATTCTAAAGTCTGTTATTATTTCACTTTCGTGACACTAACAATCCTTTATAAAAAATATGAACAAGAATTGTTGAAAAGTTGAAAGAATTTCCCTTGGAATTTCTGTACCAAATGGCAGAAAAAAAATTGACTTTCTTTAAGGGTTTTGAGAGTGACACTTGAAGTACAACTTTGAAACATTGCTACGTTGTTCCAATGCCATAAGACATAAGAGAAACCTACTGCAAATTTAATATGATCGGCTCGAAACATTTAGACACAAGCTTCGGTAAATTGTAAATTGAAATGTGGTCCCGGATTGAGTTCGAGTTAACTATTAGGTGTTAAGCAGACGAATCCTCTTAACAAGAATCCGTAGAATTTTTCATCCAATTACTCGTTCAGCTTGTTTCTTCGAATTCCTTCCATCCATCCGCGGAGAGAAGCGGATTCTTCGAGACTTTGCGTGTATCTAGATCACGCGAGGCAATTATCATCATCGTCGTGATTCGTTGCTAGTAAGGTGACAGAAAGATCGATGGTTATGGTAAGTTTTCACGTGACCAGAAAATCTTGATTTTCACTGTAACGACGGTCAATGTTGTGACTAGACTACGGCTGCTAATGTATTTATAGTATCTCTTAAATTGGACAATGCAATAAAGTAAAGGTTTTCATAAAGTTCAACGCCATTTCTGTGTTATTACTAACGTAGTAAAGCGTCCGGTACGAAATTCAAAATTTTGTTCTCGTTTCGATTGTTAGATATTCTTATCTGAAATTGTGAATTTACATAAAATCTGCAGTCCTTGATTTAGTTGTGACTTTTGTCGTCGGGAAAACTAGATGTCCCGTTGTCGTACAGTGTCACGACACCAAAAGTCGTGACTTTTACTGTCACATGATAACCGTGTTCCTCTTTCTTTTCGTTTTCTTTCGGTTTTTTCTTAAAAAATCGGTGGTTTTTACTATTTTCAGAACGGAGACAGGGGATGGGAGGTCCATCATGTGACAGTTACAAGAGTGCCTGGTTACGGGTTCGGGATTGCAGTTTCCGGTGGACGGGACAATCCCCATTTCACCAACGGCGATCCGGCTATAGCGATCTCCGATGTTCTGAAGGCTGGCCCTGCCGAAGGAAAATTACAGTAAAGACATTTATTAATAGATCTGTAACTTTCCGTTTATGTTCGTTATTGTTTATGCCAAGAAATAATTGAATGAAATTTTGTCATTATTTTCTCTTTTGAAATAATTCGAAATTGCACTGATTGTTGCAATAAATCGGATCGAAGTTGTTTAAATAGTAGCGCACACGCTGAGTGAGGCCGGAGCCACAGAGTAGCACACTCGATATGACATGTGTTGTCTATGTAGGTAGTTGTGTTGCTTCCACGAATTTTACTCTCCAATATGTCGAGAGTCCACTGTACTAAACTATTATTATTCAACTAACATCAATTTCAAACTACTAGCAGCTCTTTGCGCGAGTGCCGATGGCTATTTCTTTCATTTAAATTTAAAATGTAAAATAACCGCGCCAAATGAATCAAGATTTTTAGTAAACCTAATTACCTAAATACGCGTGAGCATGCACGGCGCGTTAGGCTTTGTTGGCCGTGAGAAACATTTCGCTAAAACGATCGCCTTGTTCGGCCGAACAATTTTCTGATGGTATTCCACGACTTTTTCTGTTAGAGTAAACGATCGGATAATATCCGCGAATGGAATATCACTGGAGGGCGCCGATTATGGTGCCGCGATCCGCGTCCTCAGGGATTCCGGATCAACGGTTCTGTTGGTCGTCAAACGGCGAGCCGCGTCCAATTCTTCCGGCATTGGGAACTCGAGCCTTCAAAGTCACAGACTGACTCTCACGAGGAACAACAAGAAAGATGGTCAGCAAACTTACCTTAGTTACTAGGAATGGGTTGGAAGCTAATTTTTCAAATTTTCGAAACTCAAATTCGAAACTTTCAAAGATTTCGTATCTCTCGAAACTTTCGAATAAAGATACAAGAGGAATATTTTCTTTTAAGAACTGAAGTCAAACATAACAATACATCTTCCCAACTACTTACCAATCAGAGCTTCCATGGTTATAAGTTATAAGCGAATGTGTTTATTAATCTGGGGTGTCGTTCCTCTCTTAAATTCTCCTTTTTCGTTTTAGACTTCGGAATTGTTCTCGGCTGTCGACTTTACGTGAAAGAGGTGACTCGAGAGAACACGGGCGTGAAACCAGGGGATGTTTTAACGCGAATCGGTAGCGTGGCCACGGACAACATGAGCTTGAAGGAGGCCAAAAAACTGATGGATCAATGCAAGGATAGATTGTCGATCGTGGTGACCCGAGATAATTCTTGCTGTCATGGTCAACTGCAGACGAAGAGCGAAACCGGGGAGTATCTGTCGGGAACGACCAGCTACAGTAGCCAGAACTTGTATGTTCCACCGCCGACGAGACAGCCGATAGAGGACAAAAGCAATCTTGTTCCCAGGGGTCGAGCCAGGGGGCCGTTAATGGATGTCTCTCTTAGTCAGTTGGATCTCCCCGCGACGCCCACTGTTGATCCTCCTAGACCGCCGCCTCCTAGACCAGAAGGTATCATCTCCATGGCATTTTCATTCGCAAGACTTTCCTGTGTAACTCTTTGCTCTGTTAGCACCTCGAGTCGTTATTAGAATCGATTAATGTGTCTTGCAACTTCACACTTGCAGGCAGGCACAGTCGAACTGGACATGGTATCGAGTACCATAATTTTTACTCTTTTGTTGTAGATTATTATGGTACCAGGAGGCAACTTTACGACGAGGATTTAGCACGAAATAAACTTCCAATGTGAGTAATACTTCATACTGAATAATACTCGACAATCAGTCCTTTTAGTTCTCAAGATATTTCAAGTTGTAAAGTTATTTATCCTATGTAGCTCAGTTCCTAAATTCACGCGAATAAAAGCTCACAAAGTGTTATTAACGATTTTACCAGGCCGGATCCACGGTTCATTACTTTCCAAAAAGAAGGATCAGTGGGTGTTCGACTCAGTGGCGGAAACGAAACCGGTGTTTTTGTCACTGCTGTTCAAGCAGGCAGTCCGGCGTCTCTTCAGGGCTTGCAACCCGGAGATAAAATTCTAAAGGTACCCCCGATTATCTTCATACGAAAAACAACCATTCACACCGAATTAACCCTACTATTAGTGGTAAGGTGGGCTCGGATACGACCTCAGCTCGTTTTTCCTATTTTTAAATCGATAAAAAGAAGTTGTTATCTCGAACATAATGGTCCTTACCATTAGAGGGTTAACACTGTTAACAGTGCTCTATAAACCGTCTACGTTCAAGTCGACTGTTGGATTCCAGATAAACGACATGGACATGAAAGGGGTGACGAGAGAAGAAGCTGTCCTTTTCTTGCTCAGTCTGCAAGAGCAGATCGACCTGATCGTTCAGCATCGACGACAAGAGTACGATCAAGTGGTGGCATCCGGAAAGGGTGATTCGTTTCACATAAAGTAAGCGTTCTCGAAGGTTATTAAGGGCTTTTCAGGCCCATTAACGATACCGCGATCTATATGGGAATATACATACATGTACATATCGCAGGACTCACTTCCATTACGAGCAACCCCAAAAAGGTGAAATGAGCTTCCGCAGCGGGGACGTATTTCACGTGGTAGACACGCTGCACAATGGTGTCGTCGGTTCCTGGCAAGTGTTTCGTATCGGTCGGAACAATCAGGAAGTACAGAAAGGTATTATACCGAATAAAGCTCGAGCAGAAGAACTGGCGACCGCGCAGTTCAACGCGACCAAGAAGGAAATGAGCGCCAGTGAAAGCAGAGGTAGCTTCTTTAGAAGGAGACGAAGCAGCCATAGACGTTCGAAGTCGTTGGGAAGGGTAAATGATTCCTTACAACGCTCGGTGAAACAAACAATACATGGTTCATTTTCCATGGTAATTGTTATATCTTTCTTTTCAGGATCACTGGGACGATGTAGTGTTCTCGGATAGCGTTAGCAAATTTCCCGCCTACGAGAGAGTTATCCTCAGGCATCCAGGTTTCGTCAGACCCGTCGTCCTTTTCGGGCCGGTTGCAGACCTGGCCAGAGAGAAACTTTTAAAGGATTTCCCGGATAAATTTACATCGCCCCGTATGTGACAAAACCACCTTTTGACTTATTTATTTATTCAAGTCAATTCGTTGAACTCTGAATGAAATTCTGATTTTTCTTTTCTTTTCTTTTCTTTTCTTTTTTTTCATAGAAATGGAAAACCAATTGGACGACAGCGTTGGAAAGAATACGAAGTCATCGGGCATCATCCGATTGAGTGCCATTAGAGAGGTGATGGACCGTGGCAAGCACGCCTTGCTGGATATCACTCCGAACGCGGTCGATCGACTAAATTACGCGCAGTTCTACCCGATAGTCATTTTTCTGAAAGCGGAAACGAAGCAGATTATAAAGGAGATGCGAGCCGGAATCCCTAAGTAAGTTTTCGTCGCGGAAATTTCAAATTATACATTGATAAACTTACAGAGAGAATTCGAAGGAATAAAAGTATTTTTAGGTTATCATGATCGTCCTTGTAGCATGATAAGTTTCAGGTGACGACGACCTGAATGATCATTTAATTATGGATTTTTTTTCTATTTGCTTCGCAGATCGGCACACAAGAGCAGCAAAAAACTTCTGGAACAATGTCAGAAGCTGGATAAAATTTGGGGCCATGTATTCAGCGCGGTGATCACGTTGACCACACCGGAAGCTTGGTATCGAAAGTTAAGGGAATTGATTGATCGGCAACAACAAGGATTACTGTGGATGAGTCAAACCAAGGTATCGTTTAAATGTTTCGAAATATTTATAATTCTACCAATGAATAGTGTACCATTTGAGCATCTAATCGCGAGGATTCAAAGTTTATAGTTTGATAACAGAAGAGACAGCAAGTCTTTTTTCAAGTATAAAGTAGCCAGGGGGGTTGTTCGAACTGAAATGTGTCGCTTGAATGATGAAAATCTTATTCGAATGGAATCTAATGGAATTTAACGTTGATGAAATGATTTTATGATAATTTATTGTAGACATCATACGGTCGACAAATGGCGTGGGAGCTATGTCATTCGTCCGGTGAACCTCGTGATTTACCTCCACCTCCTGTGCCCCCGTTTTCAAAGGAAACCGCATTTCATGATGTGAACGAAAATGATACTTATCACACGGACAAATTATTTTCATTACCTTCTTATCCGTCTCTAACGTCTGATGTTGTCCGTGAGCAATTTTTCGGCTACATTTGAAGAATCCCGCTTTTCCTACTCAGGGTGTCTTGATTATCAACCTCCAATCAATCGGATCTTTAACGTTATTTCAAGTAAAACGAATGTTTTGAATCTGTTTGCAACGCCTCTTCTTTCTTTATAATTCGTACAAATATTGGCAAGCCCAATTTAGTTTTTCTTTGTTTTTTTTATTAACTATTGAAGATTTTCCATATTTACTGTTAAAGTTCTTATATTATTATATGCTATTAGTAATTCAAGATACTCGAGACACCTTGTTCATTTTATGTTCAATTCAGTTTGCATGACTGCATTTAATAGCTCCAATATGTTTAATACGCTATAAGTATTTAAAAAAGGAAAGTACATAACGGTCAGAATGGATGAGAATTGTATTATGTATTGTGTACATATTTTGTATATTCGATTCAAGTGATATGTTGAAATAAATTTTCAAAATGTGTTACTGGGAAAATATTGAATGGTAGAATCACGAGGATTGAACAAGTCAAAATCGTAATTTCATTAAAAACACCATACTTAACATAATAATTTTAACATCTCATCTCATTCGTTGACGGAACTTAATACATTTTTTTTTTTTTTTTAAATATTGTATACACATGATTAAATCAAAATATAATTATATTTGTTTATGAGCACTAATTAAAAATTTTGAAACATTAAAAAATGTATTGTCATAATGCTGGGTTGTAAATTAAGTCCTTGTGTTTGTAGCTTTTATAAATAATGCTGGAAATGATTTAGAAAATACATATTCTAAATGGTAACAAGAAGTACAGCAACGATTCAGTTTACGTAAGCACAGAGACACAAAGGACTCGGTTTAACACCTAACAAGATAACGGAAATGAACTAATATCATCTTAATCGCATTAATTTTCTAGGAACGTTATCAATCATTCATCCTGCATCTTCATGCAAGACTAACCGAAAAATTAGGTGATATGTTTGGTCTTGATTTTTACACATACGGCTTCCAGAGCTGAGAAACAGCCAAATACATTATTGTCCCGGAATAAAAATCAAAAAGATAATTTATGACCACAAAACTTTCTCGTAAACATTTCTTTTGGTTCAATCTAGTTCTCAATTTATCCTATAATCCACCAAACGCCTCAACCTGATGTAAAAATTAACTTAACGACAAATATTTGTTTTCTGTGCAAAATTTGAACCCTTCCAGACACTGTTCCCGTCATTGAATATTTTTTTTTGCCAACTGCAATAACTCGTATGCTAATAATGTTTTTAAGAAATTTCTTAAAAAGTTGTTACGGTCAGGAAGATCGTGAGGAAAAAGATATGTAGTTGATATTATTAATATACATGAAAAATTTGTAAATATGGGAAAATATGGTCTGGAAGGGACACCAAACAAAGCGTATACCTCTGTAACGTGTTGTCCTCTGTGCCCTGCGGATGATAGCCGGAAGAAGCACTCTCGGATGACTTCCTATTCCCGATGACTTCTCGCCTCTCCTATGCTTCCTCCCCGGAGAGTGACTTGGAACTGAGCCCGGCCCCAACGATGCCGGGCGTTCTTGGTGCCCCGTCTAGATTGAAGAGCAGTTCAGACCCAAGCATCGCGACCCAAGATGACATTGCTGCACCGCCACCGTATTCGACCACTTATCAGGTAAACAGAGAGATACATACCATAATAACGCGTGACTCGAAATACATACAACCCAGTCACGTGGACAGGGGCCTGTTTTCTAATACGTGGATCCCGTTTCAGCGGTGGACGAGAAACACAAAAAAAAAGCAATGAAAAAAGTGTATATGTATGGGTTCCCCGAATATTTTTATATGTAATTTCAATGGTATTAAGTGGTCAGTATCCAAAAGGCGGTGTTTCTTTTCTTTTTCAAATGTTTCTCGAAATTTTCAAGGTCATCGATGTTTTAAATAACATACTATGATATGACGTTAAATGACCTTGAACACCGAGAATGAAAACATCGATGAGTTTGAAAACTTAGAGAAAAAACAACGCTTGCAGGATACTGATTCAAATTACGTATAAAATATTTATCCGTTTTCACGATTAAAAAAGATATTCGGGGGGTCACACTTAAATGAGATACTTTGTACACAATAACTGTGAACGTTTTGATCCTCTTGCGACGCCAAATAGTAGCCATTTTTTTTACAAACTGTCCTTCGAAAACCATTTCGTCCTACTGGTGACACATATACATATGTACGTACATACACACATATATGTATACCTACACGTTTGTTGTAAGATCCTTCTTACGGGTCACAATTTACCCGGCTATTGGTTCGTATTCCGAAGGTTAATAATTTCATTCATCGTTAAATATTGTATCGATTCCAGCAATCCTTCGAACAACCGAAAAGGAGATCGCAAGGTGGAATGGGAGACGGAAAGTACGGGTTCTCGTTGTCAGGACAGGTGAGTAATCAGTCTGGATCGCCGGAATATCTCGGCGGCTCGTTCGAGCCGAGATCGTCGCATCACAGTCCGCCTGATTTGCCTCCACGTGTTGATCGTAACGCGAAGCCTAGCAATCAGTCGGGACGTAACACAATCGGACGATCCGCGCAGGAACGGTTACTGAATAAAACGGACTCGGTGCTGGACGTGGCGAATTATATAAACGCGACGCCCCATAAGGCTAATGCCACTTCCTCGCTGGAAAGAGCTCAGCCGAAAGCGGTAAGAGTTACATACGGTAAATCATCTATGAGTGTTCAAATGCTCCTCGAAAGTGAGCGATCAGACGTCGTCCCCAGTACCAGGCGCTGGATTGCTTCCACAGGAGATTCCCCGAGTGGTGGGGATTACGTCTGAACACTCAGTCCCGAGGAGACTTGGAACACTCATCGATGATTTACTGTATCCAGAAATTTGTACGCAGTGTGACTTCGAGAGTAACAAGATAATTTAATTATTTTCGTGGTTGTATTTCTATGTATACACAGGGAAGCTACGATAGCGTGTCTTCTTACGACTCCTATAATAATACAAATGGGAACGCAAGTTATGGAACACCGCCGGGTCTGAGTACATCGACCGGTCGATTGGGTCCCAATGTACCGGACGACATGAAAAGCAGCGGTGGACCAGCTAGGTCACATGATCCTTACAGATTCACTAGATCGACAGCACAACCGATTCCCAGCAGTCATGATCCACAAACCCGGACTGATTACGCTAAGTACAGGTATGTGTATTCTTAATTTTTTTTTTGTGTTCTAATGGTAACGTTTTTGCGTTACATAATGAATAATTTGGTTTATAAAAAATGATTATATTTTACTTATAAATTTCTTCACTTCTCTTCTTTCTTTATCTGGTGCTTAGAGCGATGGCGCTGAAACCTCGACAGTTAAGAAGAGCTTGTAGAATATATATTTCTAGTCAAGATACATTAGTCTGAATATTCTGTTTTGACGAATTCTCACTAGTCTTGCTTGAAGCAGATATTCAAGCGCATGTACCCCTGTTGCGTGTAAACAATATAATTCCCTATATTTTTTCTTATTTGTGTAGCACTTGTTACAAAAGCCTTATTTAATCCTTTTGGTGCGGCAATACTTTTGACGAATGGGTTACGTGTACTACTATTCAAGAAACGTGTATACACACGTTCATAGCACCGAAAGGGTTAATGAAATTTAATCTTTTAAAAGAAGTTCTTTGATTGACCTTAGTTCTGCTTCTATAATTTCTGCCTATAAAAAATCACTTGTATCTGTGTCAACCATTTTTTTTTTTTTTTTTTTTTTTATACAACTTCATTACTTTATATTTTACTCCACTCGGCTCAATTTCTATAATTTATGCACCTTCCAATATTACTGGATCAAATCTCTGCTGCATCCCTGTAAGCTAGAGAATATTTTGCGTATTATATATTTTGTAGCCGTACAACCGATTACAAGTCGATAACACTGCCCCAAAACAAACCTGGAGGATCATACAAACCGATACCACCCCCAAAACCAAAAAACTACAGGCCACCGCAGACGAACTTGGCGCAACCAGAAAATAATGGAAACGAAGGAAGTAACACGCCCCATCAGCATTCGAAAAGCTACTCCATTGCTACATCCCATGTGAGTGATTGCTTATTTTTCTCATGGAGCATTTATATTCACAGACTCCTTTGTCGCACGAATGCAGAGGAACGTATATAAATTTAAACGTAAATAGGATTTTTTTGAAAATTCTCTTTTAGGTGGAAGGTAATATCAACGCCCAGCGTAACAGTGGTCAGTACTATTACAACATTCCACCGCCAAACCGTCACGATTCGAATTTAGGGAATTCCCATCACAACTTGAGCCACCTTTCCACGCCTGCTCATAATCACAGCTTGAGTCACACGCATCCGCATTGTAGCCCGCCAATGGCGACTCATAGCCACAGTAACAGTGCCAGTCAACTGAGCCTTGGACTCTCTCATAACAGGAACAATGTAAATCACAACGGATATGTTGTGAACAACGGTCATAACGCGACTGCGCAAAATTTTCCAACAAGCCCGGGACATAACAGAGAACCCAGCGCACTGGACCTTGCCGGAAGTAGGGAACAAAGAGGAAGTGCGTTCGAACTTTATCGGAAACCTGTGCATCATTATAACGCGAGGTAAATACCATTTTTTTTTCTCCATTCAGAACTGTCGTAGAAAGGTTATATTTTGAATGAACGTATTTTTTATTACAGCTAACGTGCACAACAAATTTATAGTTTATTCACCGGGCAAGAAAATGAACAAAATCACTTCACCGAACTCTCGAGGTGAGCATTTCAAAGCATGGGGGTTCTGAATAAACGATAACATCATAATAAGTTTAAGAATGACAACGAATAGGAATTTCAGAAAGGAACTCCTACTATAGGAGGGATCAGTTAAGAAGTAGAAATAAATCGAATCTGTTTCGTTCTTTACCACTCTCTGACTTTGTACATATGATTTTAATTAAAAAAATAAAATAAGCATATAACAAACTTTTGCAATAATAACAGTTGTTGAATAAAACTTTTTACATGACGTTTTTACTAATGAAATAAATTATTTTCTTCCCGCCTTTAGTATAAAATTTCGATTAAAGAAGAATGTACAATAATTAATAAACTAGTAAGAAACTATACTTATTCATAGTAGCTGTGAATAGAAGTTTAATTCTTTTACATAATTGATTGCATAACACAGCAAGATTTACTTCTGTACAACGTCAATATACATCGATAACATTAACATTTCTATTATTTTTCTTTAAGAGCCTTGACTAAAATTGACAATGCATCTCCTCTTGGAAAATTTCTCGAAAATTTCCCTATAATATCTCTTAGGATGGAAAAAGAGGAAGAAAACAGTGTTTAACTCTAAATTATTATGATCTTTTTCCAGAAATTCTAATGCACGTAATTTAATTCTTTAAAAACAATACTTATATAACAACTGAAATGAAATTTAACATATTTGACAAAATTTTCAATGCCAATGATTTTAAAACGTTCAGCATAGCTTAATGGTATTTAAAGGAGATCATTTCCAATAACATAAAAAATGTTTTACATTAATGAAAGAAACTTTCACTAAAGATACGATAACATAATCGTTAGTTTTAAATAAACAATTTCAAACTAACATAAATCAAGTCTATTTCATTGGAATTTCTTACTAAGCATACCAACCAGGAGTTTACCTGAACTGTCAACTTACAATAGTAATAATTCCTGATGACTAAATCGACTAGAATCACAAAAAACTAGTACATACTACATACATATACCTTCCGGTAAGCTCTTGTTATAACGAGGTACTGTACCAGTGTTTCCAAAAGTATTTCTAATATAAATACATGTAGACTATAGAGAAAAATAAATACAAAAGCAAAGTCCTAACATCCTCAATAATTTATTCTCAGCGGTGTACATTTAGATATGTAATATTTTATATGTAATCTTTTCAATACGTTGTTCGTTTTTTTTGTGTTTCATTCATAGGTAAATTTAGAACCTCTTTGAACAGCTCTTTCCACTTGAACCCTCGACTAAACTGGGAGATTTCATAATTGAATGAGATACCTATACTTTCTCTAAATTATTATAATTTAGTACATCGTGTGTTTAAGGTATCGAAAGAAATTAAGTAAAGGAAGCGGGAACACTGGTTTTCGATGAACTGATATTAATGTAAAAGACGTTAAGATAGAGAAAATAAAGTCCGTGATTTACAATGATAGTTCGACGAATAAAAGAATAAAATAAGCGAACATGATAGTAAATCCTGGTCTTTGTTTTGCATTCAATTATAATACTGGGTCGGAATCAACGTTATTACTGTCAGCGTTGATTTGGCCCTGTTATGCAACAGGAGAACCTTGACTATCAGAAGTGTCACAATAATATAAGAATAAAGAAAAGCAAAACAATGGAATTGTATCTGAAATGTCAATCAAAACTATTATGTATTGTATAATGCAAGTGCCACTAAAATTCGGAACTATTGACTTCTCATAAAAAATTGATAAATCCTATGTAAAAATAATTATTAACTTCACTTATCGGTCTATTGAGAATTCGTTAAAAAATTGTTAGCCTTTGAACGGATTTTCCAATTTCGATGATCAAGGTACCGAGATAATTCAGCCCAATTCACTTACTGGACAACTAGTGATACGTACTAAGCGAAAATACATCTATAATACGCCAGTTATTGTCAGTTTAATCCCAGAGTATTTAAAACGGCGAAACGGAGTAGACGGTAATGTTTATTTAAGACCCAGGGCCCATTCCGCAACGCCGAGGTAGTATACAGTTTGTGCAATCCCGAAGAGGGGCGCTATCACGATCATTCGACAGGCTCCGCCTTTGAAGAACGCCGTTGGTCCTTCGTTCCTCATAGTTTTTCTGTAAGGTTAGGTATCTTTTTTTTTACAAAATACCTATTTAACGTCACCATCTACCACTACTCAAAACTTTTTTTCTCTTTCGACTCGAGATTCTATTATACAATTATTGGATAGTACTGGTCATCAACCTTCGTTTGCTTATGACTTATAATGTTAAAGGTATGCTTTTAGCAAACTCAAAATCCTCATTTTGAACACATTTATGTACATATGTGTATACACGCTTACCCTATACAGTCGAACACGCCATTATATGTCGGATCTCCGGGAGCCTTTTTAATTACTTGCAACCTAGTTTTGATTACATCAAATGGATTGACCATCAGAGCGGCTGTAGAGCCAGATAAACAACCGGACACAAATGACCACCAAAACACAGCTGGCAATCAACGCAAAAATATTAATCAGATTGGGTTCGTCAGAATATCAAACTGCATCTATGTAATGTATATTTCTGAATAGGGCATTTAAATTAATGCATACTTACCGGTACCATCCTCCCGTTGGGGCCCCAAACTATTCAGTCTAGCAAACATTGGGAAGTAGATTACTGAAAAAGTGACATCTCTGAGGGCTGTTGCCCCAGTGCCTTGGTAGAGTCCTAAAATACCTCTCTTTCGAAGGAGATCTTTCGTTAAGGACAGAGCTGACACCTTTGGCACAGCTTTCCCAGCTGCAATAAAAGAATAGTTTTGTCTTATTGTTTCTTAAAACATTAATCATCAGAGCATTGGGTAAATATATTAAAAACTTTTCATTTGACGCATGAAAAAAGATTCTATAAAATAGTATTGCTTAACATTGGTAAAGTGTATAAGGATTTTATTAGACTTCTTGAAAAGACATTTTGTGGGTTTTTGCTCTATAAGTATCGATCAATACTAGAAAACACATGAAGTTAATTCATCGTTTTCATAGTTTTCATAGTTTATGATATCAGTTAGTGAAATATTTTTTCATAAAACGACCCGTGAACGACTAGCATAGGCGACACACAAAAAGAAATCTTAAATACGATAAAGAAACAACACACACATGAAAAGAGTTAGGTGTAACAAAAAGAAAATGACACTTTCAGGAAACAGGTGACGAGTGAACCAATATATATGTAGTTTCTGTACAGGGGAAAATTCAATCATTGCTTTTAAAAGAAAAACGGATTCTCGGATATCAAGGGTAAATGTATGCATGTCTCATTGGGCAGAGAAAATTAGAACGGATGAATTGATACTGGCTTATTGTTTAAGGAAACAGAAGAAATCTACAAACAAAAGGGAACTAAATTTTTCAATTTTTGAAAATAAAAATTGTTCGTCGTAAAATACATTAACAATTAAGATATCTACTACTATATTCGAAACAGATGCAGTACTCTCAAACCGTGTTTACCAATCTATATTCGATACACGCTGTCGTCCATCTTCAACTAAATCTCTTCCTTTTCCTAATTTTATTAGGTATCGCGGACGTATCACATAGCTGTAAAAAACACGAATCGAACGAAATGAATCCACGAAATTATTCGGGAATGATAGACGGCCGAAAAAGTTTGTCGAAAATAATATGCTCTTAAAGGGGCAAGATTTAGGCCTGGAAGTTACCGATATCGTTATTCGTGAACATGTACAAATTGCAAGCATTTAAGATTTAATGTAACTAAACAGTTAAATAAACATTTAAAATCATGATTTGTCCCATTTTTATCGTAAGTATAAGAATTGTAAAAAGGTCCAGAGCTACCTTTCTTTGCTTCCGCTGCCACGCGTCCTGCATCCTGCATTTGAATTTTTAGCAACTCCATAGGAGTTGTGACGATAATCTGACATGCTCCTGCTAGGCCGCCGGCAAGCATCTCACGTTCTACTGGCAGTTGCTGTCTGTACAGAGATTAATAAATGGTCATTTTCAAAAATTTTTAATATCGATGCTAACAGTTCTGAATAACCGCAAACACCAGCATTATAAACAGATAAATACCAGTGTTTTCTATTGGTGAATATCAGTATTGGAAAAAATATTAGTATTGGTACTCTCTATTGTTACTAATATGTATGTAGACTGTGGATGTTTATGCGTTTATAAGCTCCATTGACTTAGGAAATGCAACAAAATGCATATATACATTTATATGTATATGTTATTATTAATGTAGTAAAGTAAAGCCTCTAGTGTAAAATTCCACATTCTGCCCTATTTTAATTTTTAGATACCTATTAGGTTCACACTGTAATTGTGAATTGGCATAAACTTGCTTCCGCAGTCTACTAATATGGATGGCGTGACGTGAACTAACATCTGTAAAGTATACGTCCAAGGAGTTTAAATACTACATAATTATTATAATACAATATAATAATTAATTGTTAATATCTTTCTGTAAGAATTACAGAATGTTCGGCAGAATTTAGTGTATCGGAAGTACAGTATTCCCTTCCATATAGCCGCACCTCTTGGGTCCTGGCAACGCGCGATTATAGAAAACAGCGGACTCAATTCAGTGGACACAATCGATCGTTTCATTGGCTCGCGACTCGTCAGGTTCTCCTTTATCAGTTCTTCAACGGGGTATATCTTCTCCCTCGCCGTCTATATGCTACAGATGGTGATGTGATTATAAGGAGGTCGTGAAAACGCGATTATAGAGAGGGAATACTGTACACTAGGTAGTGTACACACTCGTCGTAACGTAGAAATTCACTTACCCAGCTCCGGTGGACAGATAATGACGAAAAGTATCATTGGCAGTGAGTTTAATTGCTTTCTCGGGCGTGATTAATAGAATATTTACAGCAGACCCTTTGTACATGCCGAAATAACCTTCTGCTCTATAAGTTTTCTTAAAACAGTCCAACCTGAAAAGAAGTTTAAAATACTTGTTACGATTTGAAAATTGTTCGATCGACCTCTCGAATCTTTTGATATAACCGTACACAAAGGTACAGAAATAGTGTGAAATTGTATTTTATACGTCGTATAAGCTACTTACATGCTTTTGTACATTTGTTCCCCATTAGGCCCGATAACTTGATTCTGTAATCGTGTTTTAACCAAGTCCAGTGGGAACACCACGGAGACACCGATAATACCTGCGATTCCGCCATTTATAATTTTTGGTAGGAGTCTATAATTATAAAATAATCCACGATGCGGATTCATTACCGATTTGTTCGCGTATTTCTTTATACAATAATCAGAAACGATTTTATTCAAAGATCCATGAAATTTTACCAAGTGTTCAGTGTTATGTAATATTTACATTATTAGAAAGAAAAGTCAATTTTCACTTACTTAAATTGTTTCGGAGCTTCCACGCTGTCCTTATTTTCCATTGGTATAACTACAGTTCAGACGTTTCTCCCTGTTATGAAATTACATATCCCGTTATTATTATACGTGTGTACACGCTGTAAATAATACGACGATAAACACAATAATACTCGTGTGACATATTGAAATACATTCTTACGTTCTTACGTACTTATACATCTTACAACTGTCATACTTGAAAATCTCGAAAAAATGTTATCAACGTCCTTAGGAATTCGAACTCGAACTTGAACCAGAGTCGTGTCGTCATCGTGTGTTCTGTTTCGTATTCTTGTGAAAGTATTTTCGATCGTTCCATCAAAAGTAGTAGTATCTAACTCCGAGTGCAAATAAATGCAGAACTTTCAAATGATATTTTCCATTTGATCTTTGAACTATTGGTGTTAATATACAGTTAGCGATTAAACACCGTACGATACAGGTAATCATCAATTGTGGCCGTGTATTCGTTGGATAACATTTGCAAATTTTCGCGGCATACGCAGTAGTACAACGTTCGATCCTTGGGTTACGAAAGTGGGTTTATAATTAACACTTTCAGCGAAGATAATCTACTATACATACGTATGAAAAATAATTTACAGTGCTACACAATAAACGCTCTGGTTGATCGTACTGTAGAATACAGGATAAAAAATAACTGCAATTTTGCAGCTTTGTTCCCGAGCATGTAATAGAAATATACGTGTATGATATATGTATAAGCATTCGTATGAAATATAGAAACAGAGATGGAAACAGAAAGGTGAACAACCAAACCTGTGCGCAATCACGTGCGTGGTGTTTTCGTAGTGTATTAGCATCCTATGTAGTCACGTGCGTGATTCGCGCAAACACGAAATGTATCCTTTTACCGCTTCACCTACCGGGTGTTATTAAGTACGGTTTTTAGAGGCAATCATTAATTTTCAATCCGGATAATATAGTCTGACCAACAATTTTCACCTTAATTCTAACAATTATAATTCGTAAACAACGTACACATTTAATGTTATTTTCTAGTTGTAAATAATTAATAGTATTACGTTGTAAAAGAGATTTTTCTGATTTTTATACGTCTTTATAGTTTTAGATTTCCTATTGTATTATTAGGACAAAGCAGCAGCACTTTGTGTTTTCTAAAACTGCGGACTGCGAATATGTTAATGAACTTCTGGGTGTAAATGTGTTGTCTCATAGAGTCATATGCAAGTTACGGAGGATATTACGTCCATTATTTGTGATTAGGGGCATCCAAACACCTTCGTATATACGTATACACTATGTAAACATAATAACTTAAATGGACCCTGTCATTCTGGCAATGTTGGCAATCGCTACTACGATTCCCTGTGCATAGAGAAGTATGACCTGGACACATGATCGATTTCTTACGAAAGTCCAATCCTCCAGCAAACGTCACATTCGAACGTTCGAAGAACTCGGTGAATCGATGTGTCATTCAATTTTTCATATAATATTCGTTTCTTGGATTTTTTAAGTGCTTAAAATAGAAAAATGCGACTTTTCAAGTGTACGGAAAATGATCATAACAATTAAGTGTGCTCAATCGAGTTTTTCTTTCTGAATTTTATACAATTTTATATATTTATTACGTTATAAGAATTTATCGATTCACGATAGGCTTTTGACAATTTCTGATTCAAGAAAGCTTATTAAATAAACCCCGATTGATAGAGTATACATTATAAGATGCTCAAGCAGCTAAAGTGTATACTGGGGTGGTACAGCGAATACACGATATGATCTAGTACCGGGCTTTGACAGGTTCCGAATACTTGATACGGTCCCCGTTAAATGATTTTCAATGAGTTCCCCGATTTCGAGCACATAGGATCATGAAAGGTTTCCGATTTCCGTACAAATGCCGTATAAATGCCGATCGATCTCGTCTTCGTCTCAATTAGATAGTTCGATTAGGAACTAAATATACATATGTATAGTTTCTACCCGACGAAACATACGTATCATCGTGCAAGGATTAGTTTTACATCAGACGAATTTCGTACACATAATAAATTGTTACAAGGACCAGCGAAATTTTCTCCACCAACAAGAGAAATATGTACTTACTCTATACTAATACCTACATTTGTAAATATTCTACTGTAAACGATAATAATTAAACCAATTCCATTAAACCAAATCCAGAAACAGAACGAACGTGACATACGCAGCGTGACTGTTTTACCAAAAACATTATCACTGGGTCACATGTGACCTACCTAAGTATCTGTGTTGGCAAACTGTCACCTGAAAAATGAGAATGGTTTGAAATTTCAAACCCTGTGAAATATCTAAGGTATCTGGACACGTACGATATTCTCTGGAAGTTTTTGCTATTTTTTTTCTCCACCGCGAAAACAATTCTCGATCTATTAACAGTTCATTATAGTTTCCACATTCTGTTAATCGCAAAAATTATTTTCAATTATTATTTTCAAAGGGTTAACGGTCTGATTACAAAAACCCGGATTCTTCGTTTAATCCTTACATTATCGTGGACTGAATTTTTCAACGTCCTTGAAGTTTACGACGGTATAACGGAAAAATTCAGAACATATTACGTAACAAATACGAGTGCACACAAGATATGCGTAACTGCAGTGAACTCTGTCAACACCAGATATGAAACACGATAAAAGGCTTTTTGACAGACAGTTGATACTGTGTATAAAAATGATTTTTCTTATGTTTTCGAAATGTATAATATAAGTCCGAAATTTCAATCGAAACATCTATAAAAACATTAACAAAATATCTATTTTAATAAGAATGTGAAAAATAAAAAAGGATAATTCTCAAACGCTCATAAACAAACAATTGAGAATAAACATAAAGTCGTAAATAGGTACTAAAACACAGGAAACGCTAATTTAATGGCCGAATAAATTAATGTAAATGTAGAGAATGAAAAAAACAACGACAGCAATACCGAAAGGCAAACGTGTATTGAAACATATTCTGATGCAAAATGTTAAATACGCGAATAAAGGACCACAAAGTAGGTTAAGCAATTGGCCATACCACCACGTAAAACTGTGCGACTGCAAGGTTAGGTTTTAAGTAGTGACAAAATTTGACAATGCATTTTGATACCTTGCGATTGCTTGCGATCAGGACAATTCATAGAAAAGGGTTCCTCGGTTACACAAAATTTTATATAAAACGATACGATTGTATTCATCGATTTAACATCGAAATGGTGTACCGGCCAATTCGTTCGATTTTTAAAGAATTTAAACGCGCGAAATGTGTCAGTAATGACGTCATTGTTGGCAAACAATGTCTTATCTGTACAGTTAATTACGGTTGCTATTTCAGAGTGACAGTTAACCGGAAATTAAGCAGAAGACCTACTCACCGATCGAATGTGGCCAGTGGTAGGTTACAGTATCTCGTTCAGGTAAGTCAGTTCTTATCATCAATAGCGGTGATAAGAATAACGAAGGAAGCTCAATCAATACCAGGCAGTGTAACACAGTGTAACTGGTGTAACTGTCATGATACTGGAAGAATTTCGTCTTCACCGAGGATCTCAAAAGATAAAAGAGACCACCACGGCACTGCACGGCACGGTCCACGGGTAGAACCTATGTAGAACCGTCCTTCACTTACGTCACAGACCCACGCACCAATCCCAATAGCCTGCAATAGCCTCTAGGAGCGTAAAAGCTAATATGCTGTATGTATATGAAACAAGAGAAAGAGAGACAATTTGAGGGATGATGCCAGATGATGCCCTCTCCCCGCAGCTTACTCTCTGTATATGTTTTAAATGACATGAATTAACAATAAAGTGGTATGTGGTATGCTATCAAGTGTATATATCTAACAGGATTGAAATCTATTTATAGAATAACCCACTGAACAACCAAAATATCATATCAATTTAAATATATGTATACTTAAAACGATGCTTTCATAATTAATCGTTCCACAGTGGGACGATGTTTGCGTCTAATTATTCGATAATTAATCATTGTAAAGAATTAAACGCCTTTATTCAGTAAATTCCATAAATATCTTACATAAAATTCTTATTAGTGTGGGTTAGAAAAATTATCTCTTTTGGTTGTGTATGCGCATGTGTGTATGACGTCAGCAGTGAAAGGGTTGAATTGTACTGACATCTATAAAGCTAGATGCTACGAAAAAATATGTACTATAATTTAGATCAATATTTTATATTTTTCAATTAATCTTTTTTAACGATGAAATTTTACTTAATCAACAGACAATGAGAACATTCAAAGCATAACAATCATCGGTAGCTTCTGCAAATTAGCACTGCACCCGACACTACAACAACAAAACCGACTACATATAGAATATTATGACACATGAAACGTCTCTCGTTTCGGCTAATGTCTCTTGATAATGAATCCATGTTGTACGGTGACAATTATTTTTTCTTTCAATCTTTTCAATGGAATTCAATGGAAAATATTCCCATTTTTCCATTATTAGAAATTTTCACTTACCTGTCGGTATGATTTGGCTAGCAGTTTGAGCGAATTGCCACGGGTGGCGCCACCGGTCCAAAAAATAGTGGTATTCCGCGATTAAATGCGATTTTGACTGTGTTCTGGTCGTTTATTGTTCTTGTCAATGAGAGGGAATTAATGTACGTTCTTTATGCTACAAATCGAGTGTTTTGTCTAGACGAAAGGTATCCTTATAACGGTGTAAGAGCTGTCCACATGTGAACTAAAGGGGAAGCGTATCACGGGAAGCAGTGATTTGAACTGAACTACCAGCTCCTTGTAAACGGTTGAGTTTCGATAATTATTGATAACTAAAAATAATCCCAATGACATATGTAATTAACTTCACAATTGATTTCGACGATATCGCTGAATGCTGAACTCGAACAAATTAATTGTCTAACAACAATTCCTTGTGGAGTATTTTTCTTTATCGAATACATAAATTAAAGTTTAACTACTAATAATTGTTGACTGGAAATATAATTATGAAAATGCACTTTAAATTACAAATTTGTAATTAAATTCGGAAATTCAGTTCTCCATTTGTGACTTAAGTTCCAATTATTTATAAAAAATGAGAATGTTAATTACGCACTTTAAAGATTTGTGAAGATTTTTGAAACAGTTTATAAACAATTACATGTATGTAACTATATGTGTATTATATAAATTTCCAGCAGGACTAATCCACTTTTTGCATTTTTATTATACTTTATACAAGTACATATGTATACATATGTAAGTACATATAGTTGCCTGATGGCGGTAGGAGTTACAATTCAAAACAAGGTTTTGACTTGGACAAATCTATTTAAATAGATTTTGAATTTCAAACTTTTACCGTTTCCTTTTTCAAGTATTATTAGTGCTCTATAAAGTATACACAATGATTATTTGCTGTATTCATATAGACTAAGGAAACGTGTTACTAAATATACATATGTATACTCTGTGGTTACAACGTTATACTGGCAAAGTGTTTAATTTTATTCTGTATTCCTAAACATTTATTTTGAAATATTTCTATATCTCTGTGAAACATTCTATTACTTTGTTACTGTAAGACAGTGTAAGCTTATAATCTATATCTTTAAAAATAAACACGAAGGAAACTGAACTAACCTCGTTTTATATTTCGTATAAAATAATAGTGTTTTAAACCCATTGTGCTTTATTCGTGTTACACTTTTAAACAAACGTTCGAGTGATGGACACAGTGCAGATAACAAGTTCATCCGAGGATGATGATGATATGTACTTAAATTCTGTAGCAAAGCTGAAAGGTATGTAAATAGTACCACGAAGATTCATCGTCGGATCTATTATCGAATTACTTTACGTTTCTTCATTTTTATTGTTTTATTTTTACAGAATTGAAAAAGCAGACGTCATCACACTTAAACAAAGAAGTGGCTGAAAAGTCAGAAGAAAAAAAAACAGAAGGGTTTAAGCATATCTGTTACATATAGAATAATGTTCAGAAACAGTATAGTGATTTCCTTCGAATTCTCTCTTATAATCATATTATAATTTGATTAATGTAGGGGAGGCTGGGGTAGAATGTAATAGTATTTAGGTTTCATGAAATAAAAAAGTTTGTATTTTAACTACAGATGGGAATGTTAGTTTATACGGATGAGTTGGAAATTCCAGATTAGTTCTATAGTGATGTAATGTTTTTAGATTAATTCTTCAAAAAATATTACGACCGTGAAAATTGTCCAGGATGAATTGTTACTTTTCGCCCTACCTTGGGATACAAAGTAACAATGTTGGTTGTTACGTTGCACCATAAATATAAAGACAACAAATAATCAATAATAGCTAATAATATTACAAACAATCAACATAACATTATAATATTCTATTTAATTGGCTCAACACAGCATTATCTCTTAATCAATAGGTACTCAACATAACATATATTAGCACAGTCTTTTTATAATTAGCACAATATAACATTATCTTCTTAATGAGGTCAATTAATTATCATAATTTATTGATTATTTGTTATCATAGTGATCTCTTTTATTTAAAACGTTATAAGCCCTGTTACAACCTACCCCTGTTACTTTTAACCATGGTCTCCCACATTATAATTTTTATACATGAATGAAAAATAATTGTTTTACACGAAGTAGATAATTTAGATCAGTCTTGTCAAAGTTTTATTCAAGAGTAAATCATGCTTTTCCTATTTCAACTTCATTCTTTAAATCAAGTTTATTAACTTTTGTCTGCATTGAGTGCAATAATCTTTGAATTTTCTGTTTTTTATTATTATTGAATAGTGTTTGTAGATGTGTGTGTGTGTGTGTGTGTGTGTGTGTGTGTGTGTGTGTGTGTGTGTGTGTGTGTGTGTGAGGGATTTCACACGTAGACCCTAATAAAATTTAATAGAACCCTTATATCTTTCAGAATTGAAGTTCCTAAAGTGGATGTTGTACAAAAACGGCCAGGTCGAAAAACGAGAGCTAAGACAAATAATTCTGGCACACGAACAAGACAGCAAGGAGATGTAAAATAATTTATATTAAGTATATAAAATTGTATAACACAATTGAAGATCATGCAAAATAATATTCATTTAGTTCATTTGAAGAGTACTTCATAAATTTAAGGAAACTTTACATTCTCAGTGATTAGAAGAAAAATGTATTTCTAAATTTTATAATCATTGTAATTAATGTTAAAACTTTTTTGTAGGAAAGAGTTTCACCAGAACAAGATTCAGATTTGGAGATTGTTTCTGTCGAAGAAAAAACACAATCTGTCGAGGAAATACCAAATTCAGCATCAAAAGATGATTTAATAGTAGAACAACTTGTTGATTTAAGTGAAGATGAAAACTATGATATAGATTTCAAAATTTTATGGCGATCAAAAAATATGCATCGTTTAAATATTCGCCAAGTAGGTGGTTCTATATAATTTCAATGTAAAAGTATGAATAGATAGATTTGTAACACAAAGAAGTATTATTAAGGGCCTTGCAGATTACTAATATCATTATTCTTTTTTATCGCTTTAAAGAGGGAATTGGTTTAATTGTTACAGAATGAAAATTTTCGAAAAATATTCGAGTATTTCGCAAATCTGGAGGATGTTTCTATAGATGAGATTTTGATAACTAAAAAAGATAAAACTATTAAAAAGAATGATACTCCAACTTCTATAAATTTGTCTGTAATCGATATACTAGGTAAATTGATTACCAAGTTTTAAGCAAGAATATCAAAATAATTTTCGGTTTTTATTACAAATAATTTAATAAGAATATTTTTATAGAGGGAGGTATCGTGAAAAAGGACAGTACTATGCTTCAGAAGAATACAGAAGGAAAAGTCGATGAAAACGTCTGCATGATAAAAGTACAAACCACGAACAAGAAGAGTTTGACAATACCCGTTAAGCGGGATGATAATTTCAAAAATCTCTGGGCAAAATGTGCGGAAGAATTAAACACCGAAGAGACGAAAATGAAATTATACTTTGACGGGGAAGTGATTGCAATAACAAATACTCCCGATTCATTAGATATAGAAGACGAAGCTTGTTTCGATCTTCGTCTGTCTTCGTAGTAAAATATATTATTCCTAAGTTATTGAAATATATTTTGATATTTAATATGGAAAGTTATTTAAAACATACATGTGTGAAACAGTTGATTTACCAAAAGAATTCATTACTGCAATATTCCAATAAGATTAATTTTAAAATAGGTATCGATAAATTAAATGAGGGAAAGCAGCAGGCTGTGTAAAAATTTTTAACTTTTTATAAAAAATGTATATTTGATCTCTATTGAATTGTGCATTAAAACTCGAAAATCAATGCCGGCCCTTCAGAAGGCGGTAATTCTCTAGTTTCCTGCGCTTCCACGGTTCTGCTTCTGATTATATTTCCATCTGCATCTGTCTCATCAATTGATATTAAAATATTCGATATAACAGGCATGGATTTTCCTTCATAACCCTCTGCTGCGATCTTTTCTTCAGCTTCATTCCCATCACATTCCTCCGCTTTATCATCCAAATCTTCGCATACCTTGAAAAATGAATGTCGGTTTCGCTTGTATTCTGTTATTTAGATTTATTAAAAAATATTACCTCTATTTGAGGCACACCGGAACTTCGATTCAATTTGATTTTATACTTTTTGTCTTGAAACTTTGGTTGTGCAACAGATGGAATACTTTCATCTTCAACAGCTTCGTATCTGACCATTTGCAATCTATAACAACCGTCCTCATCGTGAGTATATTGAAATCTTGTGTGACCGCTAAGCAGTTGTAATTTATGGACTTCGATTAAATGTTTTGTCAATCTGTAACTCTTCCTATACTTTATGGGACATTCATGACAACAATACCACCGTACTTTCTTGCCATGAACTCGTTCTATATGCCTTCAAAAACACGGATAATTATTTATCAATGTAGAAGTGAAATATTCCATTGTTTCTTTTATTCGGAAATAAAGAATTTTATTACCTATCGAGAGAATAGGCGCCCTTACACGTGTATGGGCAGCTCTCCATGTGACACGAAAAGTTGTGTCCATTTGTGTGCACTGACATGTGAGAATCAAGATCCGGCTGAGATTTGGCAGCATGGCTACAAAGCTGGCAAGGAAAACTTCTAGACGAAACGTGCCGGTATCGAACATGTTTGGCTAAGCTGGCTGGTGTATCGCAGCTCATATCGCAAAGACTGCATTTATAATTAAAAATATGCGTTCGCATGTGATCCCTTAAAATTCCTTCCGTGGGATAAAATTTGTTACAATGAGAGCACTGGAAGCCCTGAACTAATAACCAATTTTAATTATTATTAATTTAAACAATATCACACTTATATTATAAATGAATAAGGGGAAGCGTTGAAAAAATGTTTTGTTAAGAATATTATTTGAAACACAGGATAACGTTTCGTTGTATGAAAATTATGTTAGTACTGTCGGTGAAAGAGCTTTCGTGGAGCGGGACCCCCGACTGATTTTACAACTAGGCACTTTGTGGGTGACCGAAGGCCCATTGATGAAACCGCAGCCAGGGCCGTCGTGCGTATCTTACAGAGGTATATTTACTTTACATCTCAGGCCCCTGTCATCTCTTGCTCAGTAATATCTAATTTACGTATTAATAAAGGGTAACATATAGTTGTCAAAGATTAGGAAATATATAAACTTCTTCCGTTGAATGTTGCAAGTTAAACATTCGTTTACGACGAATATGTATTTGCACGAATATAATAGCAACTCTAGAATGGCAAATTAGTTTCTTTCAATCTTGAAAGGTAGATGACGTGTCATAAAACCGGAATTTCCGAAGGGAAACTTCAAAATTAATTGTAACGGATTGGAAACCGACGAGTCAGGACCTAGAGGAAATTCCGGGTCTTTATTAGATCACCATGTACCTTGGGTCGTCCAGGTATCGTCATTCTCTACCTGCCTCCCTCCGCCTCTCTCTCTCTCTCTCTCTCTCTCTCTCTCTCTCTCTCTCTCTCTCTCGCTCTCTCTCTCTCTCTCTCTCTCTCTCTCTCTCTCTCTCTCTCTCTCTCGCTCTCGCTCTCACTCTCGTTAATTGGTTACTTTTGAATTTTTCGTAACAGCCAATCATTTGTATAACTTATTTCCAAAATTGTATGCTGTACCAAAATTTTGTTAAATATACCATAAAGAAAGAAACAGTTCCGTGTTGACATCCTATGACTCTGAACGAAGTTCGAGTACCATAAAAGTCTCACATTACGGGTTTCATGGCCAAACCTACTGCCTAGTTGTAAAATCAGTCGGGGGTCCCGCTCTACGAAAGCTCTTTCACCGACAGTAATTGTATATATTATATGCAAAATAAATAATATTCTATAGTTACTTAGTACTCCGAAATTGTACTGTACCATCAAGCGGAATTTGTCGTTTGCAGTGTACATGAAATTTTGTATTAGATGCAAATGTAGCTCCACAATCAGGGCAAGCAACAATTTTTTCCTTTGTGTGTCGTCGCATGTGCTCTTTTAATTTGTACAAATTAGGGTAGAAGCTACCACAACCCGTCCATTTGCATTCTAGACCACCCTCAACTTTGTTACCCCGTGGGCATTCCTCGATGTGAGCAGCTACATGGTACAAGTATAGCTGATAATTTCTCATACGTTTTAAACATTCCTCCCAGCGGCAAAGAAGAGGCGCTGGAAGATCCACAACATTTTTCCATTCGGAGTCTCGGCGGAAAAAAACCTGTGTAATAAAACATTGAAATTTCATTAAATAGTCGTAATAATTTATATAATATGTTGCATTAACATTTTATACGAAAAATCGTTTTTCTCTAAACACTATTGCTTAAGCAGTATAGCTAACAATATTTCAAGCAAACAAATTAAAATTTTGATTATTTATTAGGTTCAAACGATTTTTCACGAATTTTTCTTTATATTTATGAACATTTTTAGAAAATCCATTCTAAAATAATCAATTTTACAATCAACATAAATAGGATCCATACCGGCAATTTAATTCTGGCGCGAATATTTGATCCAATGCATTTTAATTTTGTATGATATGCATGGTAATTCACATGTCTCGAAATTTCGTCAGGATCGTTATTTTCATAGAAACAACCAATCCATTTGCATACGTAAACGTCAATGCCCTTCTCATTGGTTCGTATACTCAAATCAGACACATGGCCCGCCACGTGATTCACAAATCTCTCAACACGATTGGTTTCGTATTCGCAATTGGTCCATCCGCAAGAGAGATGATAAACTTCGCGTTTTAGCGGCAAACCGACTCTCCTTCTTTTCGTACCGCATTCTGATATTGAATCGAACTCGGAATCGGTATTATAACTATCATCGTCGTCGGTTTGTTTTCGTTTCTGTTTGTCTTCATCGGTATACGTGAAATTCTTCTGAGACTCTACCCACTCGTTACACCGTTCCTGTACATCTTTACTAGTTAACTTTTTCACGAATTCAGCCATTTTTCTTTCGTTTAACTTTAAACTTGCATAGAATTTACAATTCGAAATTTATGTAAATGTATGTATAATTACATTTTCATCTCGCTGTGTTATACGCTATTTCGTCTGTTCACAGAACAACAGTAATGAAAACTAAAAAGTTTAACTAAAATTCTGAAATCAAAATAAGTACTTGTCACAGTCTTTAAGTTCCACCTTACTTATATTTCTTGTATCAATGCCTATTTATATAGACTTAACGGACTTAACACTTGTGTTTAAATACCTAACCTGTTTGTAATATAACGCGTAATAAGTATCAGAAAGTAAAGTGTTGTATTTACGAACGTTCTCTGATATTTCGTTATCGAATGTTTAAATGTTTCTGATCAAACGAACATGGAAATTATCGGCTGCACCAACGGGAACGAAATTCACAGCTTTTCGTTCACGGATATCACTGCTAGGACACTTCAATGAACACAAGAGATCTTCTACAATTTATGCGCTCTCTTCCGGTTATTGCACTGTTTTGTAGATTTTTCGTAAAGTTCACGTTTTCCTATGAAATTATGCGAAGAGACCGATAATTACAGTGTGCATGTTACATTCGACACTCTTTGATATGCGACAAGCACTTTAGCGTTCCGCCAATTTTAACTGCGCGTGCGCGCTGAAAGTTTAAAAAACATTTTAAGACGTTTGACATTCAACAAAATATAAATAGAATATTATAAATATATTAAAATGTAACAGAAATAATATCTGCAATAATTATTCCAAGAAATAATTTGCAATGCAAAATGTATAGTGTAAAAGAAATGAAATATTACTGGTATTTCTTTCGTGTACAACTTATAAAAGAAACAGTTTCAACAAAACGCTCATTGTTTAAGTACATAATATTAAAAAAATCGCATAAATGTGTTCGAAAACATAGAAAATAAATTTATAAGTATCAAACAATCATTTTTATGACATGAAATTTAACAAGTGAATATCAATAGATAAAATAATTACACAAGTTAGATATATATTTTCCTTTTAATCAAGCTTAAATATAACTATATCACTCATTGTCTGTTTTTATAAATTACACTTATAGAAATATACAATAATCAAATAATATAGAAACATTATACATCTTCTTTATAATCAAATTTAAACTTTTTTGCAAAACCTACAATTTAAGGAAAATTTATTCCTTCTATTAAAGGATTTCTGAAGTTAAAACAAAAGTAACAATATCAATGTTTTTCTTTTTTATCGCAATTTATGATTAATACAGTTTACTGTAATGGATTATTCTTTAACTATTGTATTGCATTTATTTTCATTATCTTATAAATATAAGTATGATTGACTTTAATCCCTTTCATCCGCTAGGATATGGTAAATGTGGAGTAGCAGTAATTCGGATATCTGGTCCAGAGGCACTAATTGCTCTACAAAGAATGACTAAAATATCCACTTTGAAACCTAGAAAAGCTATTCTGCAAAAGATTCATGATCCAAAAACAAAAGAATTTTTAGACAAGGGTCTATGTCTTTGGTTTCCAGGTATTCTAACAACCAACATAAAAGAAATACCTTGGCAGAATATTAATTCCTTAAGTAAAAATATTTGGACAATACATTAATTATTGTAATATAAAGAAATTATTAAATTACAATTAATTAAAACTGAATAACTAGAAAAACATTAAAAAATTATGTCACAGAGTAGTACTTATATCAAGTAAATATGTTTGCTAAATAATGAAAAATTTCAGAACCTAATTCATTCACTGGAGAAGACTCTGTAGAATTTCATGTTCATGGAGGTCCTGCAGTAATAACATCAATCCTCGATGCACTTTCGAAATTGCATTTTCAACCTGCACTTCCTGGAGAATTTACAAAAAGAGCTTTCTTGAATGGTAAAGTTGATTTGACCGAAGCAGAAGGTATAGGAGATCTAATTGATGCAGAAACTGAAAAACAACGCAAACAGGTACAGAATTTATCATACATGTAAAATGTTGATAATTCGAATGAATAAAAAATTCTTTTGTCAAAATCACCTATCAGTAAATAAAATTTATTATTTAAAACTTAATAGGCTTTTAACCAAGCTGGTGGTTCTCTACGCCGTCTGTATGACTCTTGGCGTACGATCCTTTTAAATTCTCTTGCAAGCTTAGAAGCTTACATTGACTTCTCCGAAGAGCATGGTTTAGGGTCCCATGTTTTAGAAGATACAAAGATCACACTGCATAAATTATGTGGAAAACTTGAACAGCATTTAGCCGATGGAAGGAAAGGAGAAATTTTACGAACCGGTGTACGCGTTGCCATTCTTGGAGAACCGAATGTAGGAAAAAGCAGTCTTTTGAACCTTCTTTCTAGAAGAAATGCAGCCATTGTCACCTCCACTCCAGGAACAACAAGAGATGTTATTGAACTAACAACAAACATCTGTGGTTACCCAATGATTCTTGCAGATACCGCCGGCATTAGAAAAGACCCAGAAAATGAAATAGAAGTAGAAGGCATCAGAAGAGCAAAAGAATGTACAAAAAGAGCAGACATTGTTATATGTATAATAAGCGCAGAAAAGAAGTTTGCATGTTCTTTTCAAGAGTTTATGGAAAATTATAAAAATTGTTTAGAAATACAATTAGACAATGTTCTGATAGTACTTAATAAAATAGATTTACTTGAAGAGATAGAAAGACAAAGATGGAAAGTGTTTAATGTTGTTGCTATTTCATGTAAGACAGAGGAAGGTTTGCAACAACTTATAAATGCATTGACAGAATATTTTCAGAAAATGTGAGAATTTGATTCCTACACCGAAATTACAATATTGTAAAATGTAGCACATATACCTATCACCAAAGTAGTAGACATTTCCATATATATATATATATAAAGAAAATATTTGATCCATATTAAGTATTTACTTATGTATAAAGTAATATGGATCAAGCATTTTCTTATTTGAACTTTTTAATTACAGATGTGGTGATCCAGCTGAAGAGAGTCCTGTGATTAGTCGTGCAAGATATAGAAATCATTTAACACATGTTGTAGAATACATTAAAGCATATTTAAGGAAGACAGAAATCCAGAATTATGATATGGCTATATCCTTACAGGATATTCGATGTGCAGCAAGGGAACTTGGGAAAATAACAGGTTCCATAAACAATGAGGAAGTACTCGATATTATTTTTAAGAATTTTTGCATTGGTAAATAAGAATTATTTTAAAAAATGATCTAATTGATTGTAACATCAATAGAAAGGGAAATATAATTACAAATTACATTGTAACAATTACAATCATTTATTTAACAATACCTCATAGCATTTTTTCTTTTATAACAAAAAAAAACATGAGAAAAGAAAATTTTATTAAAAATACAGTTGTCAACCTTCTGTTGCCTTCTCTTTCTCGGTTCCCAAATGTGTTACATCAACGTCATCCAGGTTTATTTTCTGATCCTTCATAGCTTGCTAAAAAGCAATATAAATGTAATACATAAATTATACCTTTTCTTGCTGTGAAGTCACGATAATTCAATTTAAAGACCTATACTGTCACATTAAAAACCGTTTGAAAAATAAAAATAACTGTTTTTCATATTCTATTCAAATGATTATGTCACATTACAAATAATTACAAAAAAGTATTTATTTATAGTATCTTCTAGGTTATGGTATCAAAAGAATTGTAAAACAGTATATAACGAATTGATATCCACTTTCGATGATTTCTGTATATACATGCATTTTACTATTCCATCATCTGACTATCATTAATTTTATCTAAAACAATAATTCACACGTGACTTGATAATATTAAGATGAGGTTAATAAAACTATAAAATATTATAATTTGCCCGAAACTATAGTAACGTTTACCTTCTTCGTTTTTTAATATTTTAGAACATTACATTACCACTATTTTGCCCCCCAAAAAAGCTTAACAATGTAATATTTATTATACCGGTTGAAATACATACATATCTTCCAATCATTTTATCATGTGATAATTGATTTTCTCAAACATGATGAAATACTGTTCCAGTGCAATATTAAATGATTAAAAAATATTAATTATTTCTCATTTTCATCGCGTTGAAAAGGAAAATGTGCAGTGTAAATTCTGCTGAGTAACTTACCGCGACACATTCAGTATAAACTTTAAGCAACGCTGCACACTCGCTATCGTCATTAACACCACGTAAAAATTTTTCAGAAAACCAAACATTAAAGCAATGATCATATTTCGTTTTTAACTCTTTACAAGCCTCCATTATCTATTGTTGCGTATGTTTCTACGGTTTCTACCGGAACTTTTTAACCCTTTTAACTTTAACGCTCACATGTATATTTGTTAGTTTCAACATCAATGAAACTAACACTGTATCTTCGAGTATTGATTGATTAAGTAGATTTCAATGGTTTTGGTTGAGAGTCATACAAAACAATTTTTGAGTCTACTGGTTTCAGAATTTAATTGTTCTATTCGTTTTCAGTTAATTCGATGTGCAATAGTGAACTTTTACTTAAAAGGGTGATAAAGTAGAGGTTGTTACCGAATACAACACTCTGCTTAACGATCTAATGAAACGTGAATAAAATTACACTCTTTTGTGTAAATTTTCTAGAACATAATTTTGTATATTCTACGACAGTAATGCCAGTTTTAAGACTCTAAAATTTGAAAAAAGAACTAAAAGTGTGACTGATGAAAGTAAACGCAATTTAATTACCTGCAAACATTGGTTGTATTGTTTGAAATAATTTGAACACATCGAATCGTCAAAGTTTCCTTTCAGAAATTTTTCAGAGAACCAAACCTTGAAACAGCCGTCGTACTCTTTTTTGAGGTGATTACAAGATTCTGCGATACTGTTCATTTAACTTTTGTGTACACCACTAATTTAGTAAGGATAATTATGTTGGTATGGTTTCCTGTGATATTTAAAAGAAAATTTGATTTCCAATAATTTTACTCTTAATTCACAAATTATGCCTACAAAAAAAATTTTATTTGAAATTTGTAAGTTATAAATCATTTGCCTTGAAATAAAATCGATTCGTATCAATTATTTGGATCGAGTTTGTGTCTCGATTTTGATTTCAATTACGATATTCTGATCGACCGAAATCGATTAATCGAATTGCGTTTTCTATAAAGTATCTTACAAGACAGAATGTTATTCATTAAATTAAGTTTGTTTGTACTGGAGAGAACTATGATTTAACATTCAGTTGTTTTAATTAACAAAAATTTGGTAACAACTTACGTCCAAATGTCCTTTTGAAAGTAAACTGTAGAAAGCTTTCGTTATTCTAATCACAAGTTATTTTGTGGTTATAGTAAATGAATACGTTGCACCATTCAGTCAGTGGGTAATGGTTCTCAACTTACTTTTCTTAAGTCATTCTATATACACACACACACACACACACACACACACACACATACATACATACATATATATACTTATGTAGAATATCACGCACGATAGCTTGACGCACATACGGAATTTCATGATAAAACGTGATTATTCGGGTAAAATTTATTAGATATTCTTTATTATTCTTTATACGTTCTCAACAGTAATGTAAATATCCTGTCATTACAGAATATATGAAAAAAAAAAAAGTTTTCTGGTATTTCAAAATAAAAATTTTATGTTACATTTCGAGACTTCATATACAACTAAATTGTAACAGACAATATATTATTTATTCATTCTTCTTAACGAAACTAACTAGATTTGAGTAATTCCTGTTAAAATAAATAGGCCAAGTATACCTAATATACAAGAGCACATGCATTTTGTGTTAAATGCATAATAATTACATCGGTGAAATGATGCCAAGACATATCACACAGAATGAATAGTTCATAAATAAAATACAAAGTTACATAATATATTTAGTTATTAATTATAATAATCTTTGTAGAATGTCAAATGGAACTTGCATTGTCTGGTCATCAACTAAAACAATATCAAATACTTCCATATAGGATGCCAGGCTAGTGTCAACCTAAAAAAAAAAATAGTATATATCTGAAACGATTACTGAATGTATTTTCATGGAGTAATTCACTATTTGCAAATACATTATTTAAACATCATTTAGTATAAATACATAAAAAAAATAATATATCAAAAATACTTGTAAGTTGCTTCATCAAAAGTATTACACTTACATGATCATAAAGGAAACCAATTTTTAATACTGCACATGTGTCTGTCATACCATCTACCATTAATGCATCACCTATAGTATCACCCATTAGGAGAACATTTTTTCTTCCGTCAAGAACTTTAAAATATTCTTGTTCTATGGCATGCTCATTTTTGTTGAAAACATGAATCAACCTGTCATTTTCAAATCCTGTTATTTTTCCATCTCTATGTTTGAGAAAATTCGAGATCAACTTAACATGAAAACAAAAATTATTAGTAATATTACATTGTTATTATTACCGATTACAAGATTATTACAAAGCATTGAAGTTGGAAAAACTTTTATGTAACTACTTTAAAAGTATCACCTTTACATTATTAAAGAGAACTCCTTGGTTTCTTAAAATAGCTTCGACAACATCCCCTAAGCCAGCACTGAAAACCAGCACTGGAACCTTAGCAGCATTCAATTTCTTAAAAAATTCTTTTGTACCATCTCGTAAATCAGTTCCATAAATCCTAACCACTTCTTCTATTTCATTAAGATCAAACGGTATCCCTTTTAATATCTTTTCTGCTGCAATCATCCAGTCTGTCATTGCTTCTGCTTTTACTTCAACTGACAAATGCGGATCAATTTCGATTGGTCTATACTTGTGGTAGAGACGTTTTGATTCTTCTGAGTAAGTCTGTGGCAGTTGCTTGCATTTACCAAAGATCCCTGTACATTACAATCAATTGTCATAACCTTTATGAAACATAAATTTTAAAAGGATTTACTTATATTTTATTTGCAATGATATTTATGAAATACAAGTTTAAAACTCTGTTAGGTTAACTGAAAAGAGAAATATTATTCGTGTATGTACATACCAAAACTACTAAGGACTTTTTTCCCATTAACATGTTGCTTTGTTAGTGTTAAATCAAAATCTGTTACAATCTGAAAACAGATTTTTTTAAATCATATTGCCATTGAACTTTGTAAATGTATACAATAATAATACCAAACTATAAAAAATGACTGTTTTCATCATTTTCATTTTATGTTATGGACTTTTAAAGTTATAACACTTACAAGAAGTATTTAAATGATAATCATACCTGCAAAGAATTACATCCATCACTTAAAATTGCGTTTATTATCTTCATAAAACTTTTTTTATCTTTGATGTGGACATTTCTTAATTTCAGTGTTGGAAACTGCATCAGGAAAGAAGATTTAAAAAATGTTCAAATATTTAAAATACTAGAAAATTTTAGGTGTAAATTGCTTAACGATAAATTGTATTGTCATATAGGTAAACATTGGTTATTTATTAATATCCGTTAGAATTTAATGGTACATCGAAAACATAAAAGTAATTAAACTTATATGTATTGATGTATATATGTAAACCACTGTACAAGAGGTTAACTTGCTTACGACGTGTCATCCTCAGATTGTTTTGTATTATTTAAATTAAATTTTAATGTTGCAAAATTAAGTATAGACGTAATAATAACTTGTCCGTTTGAAATATTTTCTTATTTTTCATGTATAATAAATCGTCTACGAATTGTTAAAATTATAATAACAAATTTGTTAGGTATATGAAACATGTAAAAAATGTGTAATACTAAAATCGATCTGAAGGTCTATATTTTATTTTAACTTTGCATATTAATATAATAACTTTGTTCGTTTAGTGATAACTAACGATTCCATTTCTGTCATTTAATTTTAATATCTTCATTGTAATTCTAAATAGTATGATATAAAATGTGTACAACTTATATGTATACACAAGATATATTATTTACGCTCCAAGCTTAACATAAATGTACAGACTAAGTTCATAACAAATTAATCTTCTCTTGGTGTTCTTATCAATTTTTTTCTGTCAACGAATGCTTGTTCATTGTGTAGATGAAAATGAAAACATTTTATTTTTGGTACATTATTACTTCTTGACACTATTATGGTATACATTATAGTATTATTCTCTTCATTTTCGATGTGTCGGAGATTTTTTTAAAAAATTGTGCTATTCCGCACAACTTATTTTGCAGTAATATATGTAAATTATATGTAAGTTATTACTCCAATTATAGAATTTTCTACCATAATTTCATAACATTATTTACCTGTCAATCGATTTTTAAAATTATTTATCAACTAATACATACATATTCCATGTTTACATCATTATTCAGAAAAGTTAACTAAGAATGATTTAAAAGTGAATAGACGAAGGAAGAAATCGTATTTAGGTTATGTCACGCTAGATTGACCGCCAAAAGATTGAAATGGGACAAGGCCAAGCACGATTGGCTAGCCGAGAATCCGCGAGAAAGTTAAATTACTTACATCGTCCAGGCTCAATTCAGGAGTCATGGTCTTCCTTAGCGTGACGAGCTGACCGACGAGTACAAAGCAATGCAAAGTTTTACACCTTCTAAACTATTCTCAACTATTCTGACAGCCAGCGGTTTGCAAGCCGTTGAAGAGCCGCCACGGACCCGATCGACCAATCAGTTGCGCCGACAGTCACGTGATTTCGCAATAACCAGTCACATGACTTCTCCGTTACTGTTTTCCTGACCGCGTTAGTCTTTCAATGTTTATTATTTTTACGATAATTAAACTGCCGATTTTATGCATATGTAGTAGAGTTGACTATATAAATTTCAATAACATAGGGTCTTTATTGATATTCGATAAAGTCATTTTCAGCTTAACGAATTCAACAAGGAAAAACATTCATTTCTGTTTATTTATCCGTTTCCGGAAGTGAAATTTGCACAAATATGTACACAATCTACAAATCGTGTTACGAGAATTGTTGGGGGGGGGGGGGATAATAAAACACTACACCAACATTAAACGTTTCCGGTCGATGGATCATTTCATACTATATACTATATGTACTTACGAATATGTACATAAGTATATAACATAATCAACCCGGAAACAATATTATTAACGTTTCGAAGCCTATATGTATACTCTTTTATTACAGGATGAAACATTTTTATATATACATATATTTTAAGTCATTAATACTATCATTGTTACGATTATTATTAATATCATCGGATCTTATTGTCAAAGATACGAAGATCATTCACTGTGGTAGGTTAAATGTATTGCTACCATTGCAGAGACTTCATCGCGGAATGATAACTAGGGCTATGTTGCGAATAGAACTGACCGTACCATCTGCGGTAGGACAGAATTCCTTTTTCCTCTTTCACGAGGAGCGGCTGCTTCTCGAATTTCTTTCGGTTCCAGATGGCGACGTCCCTTTCAAACATCAGTGTCTCCCCGATAAATATGAGTAAGGCGTACGGGGAGAGCAATGGCGGGCCGTAAATCACGTGAACCACCTAATAACATTCCAACGACAACGATCATTATCAGCAACAATCTGTCAGAACCTTATTCGAATATATTAAACTGACAGAAGAAAATAAAAAAAATACAACAAAATCTCTTTTGTATTTACTTAGATGCTAATGGGTCAAATTCATGCGAAATCGGACACTTTTTGGAGTGACACTTCGGATTTTGTTGAAACTTGGATATGTTATAGTTTTCAGTGATATATAAACGTACTTCGAAGGATATTTGAAAATTAGTAAAATTGTCGTTTCACAATTGTTTGAAATATTTATAGTGCCAACCTTTTTTCAATAAATTGTAAATGATAAAATCATATATGTATGTATGTACGTATTTCTATAATTTCTATAGGATATTTAGAAAAATAAAGAACCTTTTGTAGAAGGGGTTCCATCGGTGTTACCGTCTGGAGGATACACAGCCGTCCGAAAAACGTGTCCATCATCATCTCAACGTATCCCGGCCCGATTTGCTGCACGTGCACGTCCACGTGCCACAGCTTATACCTCTCGAATAGCACCAGAGAATGCCTCAAAGTTGTGTACGCTCTGTGATTTAAATCCTCGGTGTCGTTCTCGTTCTCCCCGTTCGAGCGTTTGCTCTCCGTGAGAGAACTGTGCGGCGTCCAACCGTCGTTCGTCCACGAGTGCCGGGCGATCATTGAAAGCGGATGCACGAAATTCGAAAATACCGTCGGTCCGTGAACCGCGCTTAAATGCGCCGTGTCGGCGCCATTTTCCGCGATTTCCTGCAATAAATATCACGTATTCTCGTTTTCAAAATCCGTCCCCCTGGTACCTCGATAATTTCACACGCATATGTTATTACATGTTTTAAAATACAGTTTAACAACATTTAATTTTCCAACCTTTTTTGTACCGTTTGGACAATAATTTTTCGTATTTTCGTGCGCTAGTCCCGTTATTGCATCCCTGGCCTTTCAACGGCGCGAAAAGGCTCGCCAGAAGGTTTGTAAAACTGACCTGTATGTGGCAGTTGATAAGGAACTCGTTTCGACCCTGATTACACCACTTTCGATCTGACATGTAACTGAGCGTCTGCGGCTGCCATGTCGGTTCTAATCCCTCCACGTGGTACCAGACAAAGATGATCCCGTTCGCCTCGCGACACTTCCACGTCTTCGTTCTCGCGATATGGGGCACTAAAAAGGGGAAACATTACACACAGAAATTACGAACAATGTCGGTGGACAAGATCAGATGGAGGGATAAGATACCTAAGAAATGTGATAAACTGCATATGTAACACTGTTCAACACGTAAAATACATACCCACTTCGTAACCGTGAATAGTAGACCGTTCTGGTAGATATTTATGAGCTGAACACGAATTTGCAAACCGTTTTTTTCCTAGCACATCCGGTTTTGGGAAAAATCAATTGAAAGAAAAATTCTTCACAGATTCGTATTCAGCTGATAAAGATCTATCAGAAACGCCTATTAACCGGTATGAGGTAAGGAAAAAGTTGAAATTTCTTGAACAGTGTAATCGAGCATAGAAGAATAACGTAAAATAACGTAAAATAAAATATTGAAAATGCGAATTTCTTATTGAAACTTTCCAGCGATTAGATGTATATTATTTTCACAGTAATAATATATTTCATATTAGCATAAGTTTTGTTCTTGAAATTTTTCAGTTTTTCAACATCTTTTAGGATTTTTAATTTCTTCCAACTAGAACCCTGAATCGAAAAATTTGCGAAAATTCTGTAACGCTTGTCCCGATATCTGCAATGTATGATATTTTCTCAGAAAAATCAATAACTTTAGCCTTTTTAAGAAATTCTCGAGAAAGACTTGTCGCGAAGAAACACTACCCGACAGGAATGTTACCTTTTTCAACGTAGGGGATGTGATTGCACTGTCCATCGGAGCCACGGAATTGCCAGCCGTGAAACGGACACTCCAAACAGTCACCCTTGACACGACCACCCTCGGCCATATTGGCGCCAAGATGGGGACAGTAAGCGTTTAAAATCCTCACCGTCCCGTCATCTGTTCTTTAAACGAACGGTATTCCTGTTATATAATTCATTCTCGTTCGGTCAACCTCCGTGCTCGCACACACACACACACACACACACACACACACAATCCACGGATGTTTTGCAAAAAAAATTGTTTTTAATACGTACGTACGTACGTTTATTTTGTTTTTACATTTTAGAATATTGTAAAAGATATAACGATTATTTCTAATTGTGTTATTTTTTGTGCGAATAATTATTATTGGAATGAAATACACGGCACACATATTTTATAAGTGAGATTATTTGTTTATTTTATTCTACATATATGAAGTACGAGTATGTAGTTTTATATTTTCCGTAAATTTAATTTCAACGAAATAAGGGGGCGGCGAAAAGTATTTTAAATCGAAAATAGAAACATATAAACTTTAGGGTCGGCCTAGTTTATTGCTAACGCTGTATCTTCGAAGGAACTATACCTGAACACTGCGAAATTTTCACCGAGCGCCGCCACGTGTTTCACCTGGCGTCTGCCTAATTGGAAGCTCTCCAGGAGGGCGAACCAGCCGTTCGGATACACCGGGGGTAGCTTGCCCAGTTTCCGTCTCTTCGACTCCAAATAATTCGCGAGAACCTTTCTGTTGCTACCTTCGAATCTTAGGTCCTGCAATAGGCAAAGAAAAAATGGCGGTTAGTTTACGACTGACTATTTGTGAAAACGACATAATCCGAACAATTTCTATTGGTTGCCCCAAAGCCAGAGCCAGAGCCAGAGCCAGAGCCAGAGCCAGAGCCAGAGTGTACTAAGGTAGCTTCCGCGTTTGGTATCGTATCTCGTATCTAGTTTTTCATCAATTTTCCAAATTTAATTTGAATGATTAATATTTGAAACCTTACTTGAAAATACCTAAATGGAAAAAAATTTATAAATAAATGGAAAAAACAAAAACCACCAAACGCCTTGAAACTTGAAACATAAGTTTGCATACTTTGATCTTAATTTTTAGTTTCATTTGATCGTTGACATATCTTTTTTTCCGTGCCATTATAAACTCTGTAAAAACAAAACATATTATAATATATGTATACGTACAAATATACAATTGACAAACATTATTCGTTAGTTTCTGGTTTGAATAATAATTGCTCAAACGCTGTTTCGTATGTCCGTGTCAGTCAGTATTGTAGGAAGCTAAAAAGGTATCCTTTTTAAAGGGCGCGACGAATTGCTGATACGAAGAAACAGGATTCGTCTAAGTCTAGTTTTACTACATCACGCGCGACAGAAATCTGCTTCCTCATCTGCAAACATAATGCGATCGCATAGCATGTCGCGCGCGTCGCTCTGGCACCTAACGTCCTATCGTCCGCGAGCACTGAAGTCAGGGAATATAAAAATCCACTGGTTCCACACACGTTACGAAACAAAACGCGTTCGTATTCTTCACTATTTTCCACGCTTTTTTCAACAATTAATTTTCCCTTCTGTACACGGTGATTTCGTTGGAAAAATAACGACTAGTATAAATGTTCCAATTACTGCTAGTGTCCCTAACACTGTCACTTTTTTCATTTCACTTAATAAAAACGTAACATGTAAAGAATTGTGTAGAAGAAATTTTCTTACATGCTAAATTGTACTAATTGAGTCTGATTAACTTGGAAACAAAGAAATAAAGGTATGTATAATACATACTTGTATACTATAACTTTGCTATTCAACCTACATAATTTACTTCAGCTCTGACATATGATACATATCAACCACTACGTCACTGTATTTTCTTGAAATCTGAAGAAACATATACGAAGAACTACAAGTTCCTTGGTTCGTTAATTCTTAGTTCTAAAAATCGGTTAAAAATGACGCCTCCGAATGGTCCGAATTCTTAGACCCCAATAAGGTGGCAGTAATTGTCACGTCTACTCTACTCCAATTCTTTCAAATTTTTTCTTCGATCTTTCTCACTGGCTTTCCTTTTTATCCTTTCTCTATGTAATTCTCGCATAGTCGAATAAGAAAACGTGCAAAGCATTTTCGGTTGTGGACCAGACCTGGCTGACTTCGATTTGAAATTCAATGCTAATCCTATAGTAACCAAACGCAATATGTATTCGTAAGGCTATCAGTCATTTTGGAATATTGTCTTACAGCGAGGGACATTTCCACGTCTTCCTGTTAAATTAATGTCGTTCGACCTCACGAGGAAAAGAGATCGAATTCGGTACCTATGAGTCTCCGTGAGTATCGGTATTTCTCGGGCAGACCAATGACGCAGACACGTCCTCGTTAGCATAAATCAAAAAACCACGGTCGTCGACAAGAAAAAATGATACTTATTCAAATGCCTGAATAGTAATTTCAGGATTTTTTCCAATTCGATCTCCAGGGGGCGAGAAGGTGTCCGAATAAACGGCGATAAATATAATAATATAATGTATTTTATGTTCTCTTTTAGAATTTTGTCAAATCCCTAATAGTTTTTTTATAAATGAATGTTACATGTATTCTAGGATTCCTAGGATATACATACTATAAATACTGCAAAGGCTGTGAACCTCAACTTTGCTGATTCATTAATCACGAGTGCAAAAATGAAAGAATTCTAATCGTCGAATTGTGGGTTTATGAGCAACCGTCATCGTTCTACTCGAGGTATTCTATTTGTCTGACGTGTAAATACAGAAAATAATACATATATAATAATAAAGAAGAAAATTAAACTGAGGATTTAAAATATATTTTCGAAGATGATTCTAATGTTTCGAATGATTTTATGAAATTGAGATACGTCTAAAGTCTAAAACATTCAGTAGAGATACATTAACGAATAACCTAGTAGTTTGTATTCCCTGATGATAAAACTGTTCAATAGTTCCGTGAAATCGGAATATTCTATTCCATAATTTTCTATTCCACGCACCTTATTCTAGACTTCTTATTCCATAGATTCGATCATGCAAAAAATCCCTAAATTCGTTATCGTATTTCCAATGAAAAGAACGCACAATTCCTTCAAACTCGCATCGTCAGTTAAACATCCAATCAATGTGTGTCAATTTTCTTAATCGACACAGCCAAACATAAAACTACTCGCGTTGCAGTTGTTCACTCTCAGTTCTCTTCGTACAACTGTTCCAACTCAATTTTTCATAAAAATTCAGTGAATCAATCTACGTGCGTCTCATTGGTTCAAAGAATACAAAACCATGATAATAGAAAGAAAACAACAAATATTCTTTCAAGTTCTAACTTGGAAACTTTGAAGGTTTCTTCTTCATAATGGTTGTATCAGCAAACAGTGACACTGGTTAAAAATTAATGTGTATAATAAGATAAAAAAGTTTGTAAAATACTGTAATAAATAGCTATTCGGTAGATGATATTATAGTGTGTTTCACTATACCACTACATATATATATATATATTATGTAGTACATACTATTATATATGTATATGTAAAAGTAGGTAAGCCGGGCAAAAGGGTATCGAATTGGAAGGGACTCACCTTGATCACGTTCATCTTGTACAGATACGGGACAAGTAGAATACCAAAAAGCAGAAGAAAAGCACCACCGAGGCTCCACCATCCGGCCATCGCTGTCCTCTCTCACCCTCTGCCCCCGTACGAAGTGAAGCAAGTGCACACACTACTCGAAAAACTTGTCCCTCCGGAACACCTTCGGGGAGCGATCCTCCTCTCTTGCGATCTCCTTGCTGCCACTGTCTTTCCACTCCCTTCTCTCCTTTTTTCCCGTCCAACTATCCGGAGCCCCCGTCGTTCCTTCGTTTTTTCTTTCCTTA